CTTTTGCACAGATCCCGTTATTACTGCACAGCAGAGGTGTGGTTTTTCAGCTGAATACTTTTGTTAAGACTGGGGTCATAGAATTTACGCATAGAAAATATCGGAAGATTCTATGTCCATAAATATATGTTTGCATTGAGCATAAAGGCAACGTAATAAAATGATCCACAATTTCCATAAACAAATTTATCGTAGGGGGCAAAAACACGTTGGATTATATTACTATGTCTTTCAGACCTAATCGCCATCAGTCGCAAGATAAAAAAACATCAAGCAAATCAATTTTCGTACATTTCTCGATTTCTGAAAACAAAAGATCGGATTTAGTGTTGATGTGTTACTTTTTAGCAAGTTAATAATAACACCTGTGCGTACATATAAGTTTTTTTATTGACGCCGGCAAGTTTCTTCATTTAGTATGTATATCCGACCTAGACCAACTTAAGAAAATATCCCTCGGATTGGATATTCGGGGTATCGTTAAACAAAAGGTGTCAACATTATGATACGGCATTCGTTGGGTTTCAATTAGCACGCATAATGAAGTTGGCAACCCACATTATCATAAAATAAAACGCATTCACGTTTTGAAGCTTGCAAAAGAACAATTTTAAACTCAATATATCATGTCTCACCTCAGAAAAGTCACTTAGTTACTTGCAGAGATTTTAATTTAAAAAGATATTGAGCATTTGTTCAAACGAAAATGCGTACTGTGGGGGCAGAAAAAACTCTCTCAGTGTTTTATTAACATTCCCTATCGAGAAGGCATATGGTGCGTTTCGAATCCAGAAACCGTACAAAATCAGCTCGGACTCTTTATACGTCCCACGAATTTCGCCTTCTGCTGTGGGGTAGGCAATGACGCCAACTGAATCCAGCGTATCATCTGCAGGCAAAAGTTTACAGTAAAGTGAACATTTATCGCTACGCTTTATTAATGTGTGTGATTTGTGAATTCGTGCAGTACATGACAGTCATAGACGCAAAATACATAAGCTAATGACAATTGAACCACGCTACGAAGATATCTTAGTCAGATTTATCCACAGGGAATAAATATGCACTGTTTTTTACTTTCATGTCATAGGCGTTCATGATACCCAGCTGCCGTATCGACCCTCCTTTTCTTCTATCATTGGATTGTTCTGCCCACACTTAATCTACTCGATTAAATAAATAAGTAATTTTACCTTGTTCGGTTTATTTCGTAATGACCAAAGCCACCGTTAGGCAGCGGGTATTTAGCTAATTCGTCTCTGCTCTAAATGACCTCACAAGTAGATATCACATTCTGGTAGTACGCAGGTTCTTTTCTGAAGCCAGTATTGCATAATGCGAAGTAGTGTGGTCGTCCGCTATGCCAGCATCAGCTAACCATGACCCTTGAATTCTCGTGTGCGCAGCTCCTTCTTTAGCACCGGTGGCAGATGCGCTGACGCCGCTGTTGTGCTTGCGGTTGGCGTACATAGTTGTTCAGTCACCTTCGTCCTACTGACCGGTATTCGCACGGCTGTCGGTTAAAATTCAACTAAAATGTTTGCTGCGAAAAAAGTTGTTGTTTTATGCCTAGGTTTGGGTGTGGTCTTGTCATCACCTGGCTTTTTCTCCCCTCTGTCTACTCGCCTAAGTCATGACACAGAGTTCGGGCGGTGGATGGGACGTGCGATAGATGCAGTACAGGTCTACCTTTTAATTTAGACAAATGCGAGCGCAAGTAATCTTTTCTGTTTCGATTTGGCTTGTATCACACGGTGAGCCTCATCGGTTGCGACGATCGAAATGCCATTTAAAGAAACTGATAAATTACTTTGCATCATTCATCCGCCCAGCATGAAATTTATTGAAAATGATTGCAGATTATTAAATGAGGCCGAAAAACGCGCACGTACAACTTAACGGTTGTGAGGTGACTGTATAAAACACCCTGCTTAGATGTATTAATTTTCATCTGTTGATAAATCGACGTGCTCTCTGCAGAACTACTGCCTCTAGGAAAAGATTAAGGGTGGCACTCAAGGATGAACCTTGAATGTTCCATGGACTTGAGCTTATGGCGTATTTAAAATAATTTGACATTTTTCCAGATTGTGTGTAATGGGTGGTTTTAAGCCTATAGCGTGTTTAGGAGGATCAGCGATACGTAAGACACGCATAATTATAGCTCATACAGGCAAACGGATTAGCTTCAGCAGAACGTTAGGGCTTGGGAAATAGAAGCAAAAAAAATTAACTCACTTCCATAAGACACGTCCAGAATGAGATCAGTAAAGTATATTTTGCATGTCCACTCAACAGTCATATGGCATTTGCCGATTCGCCATACGGCGGTGGACCTTGGAGCAATGACCAAAACCATATCTCCCCGGTATATCAAAGTCCTCTGAACTCTTCTCTCTACTATTCCACGTAGGTTTTTTGGAAGATTGTCTGGACCTATAAAAAGGGAAGGTAAATTGTCCTCCATGTGATAGTACGAAGGTGCGGGGAGATTAATATACGGGTTTATATAGATTTAATGCAACCCCCCCGGTTATAACATTATGGTGACTGGCTGACATGATAGACCGTGATTCCAAGCAGGTTTTCTAATCGGTAATTCCCATTTGAAGTCTTGAGTAATATTAATTCACTTTTTTCATTTACGAGAAACAAAGTACTGAGTGTAGAATTATGAAATTAAGTTTTTGGTGGACGTAAAATGTAAAACAATTAATATTTTACAACCCTACGTCCAGAACCTCTGACAGAGTTTGGCCTAAAATCTATGGGACTAAAAAAGTCTCGATAATATCAGGTAAAAACGAAAACGGCTTTTATTAAAAAACATGTTTCTTCAATAAGATCAGTTTATAAGAACCATGATGCATAGTTTTATTTCACATCCACTGAACAATACTTTAAGCAACTCATATAAAAACGTTTTATTCAAAATTCACTAGCTCACCACCGTTTTTGCAGCAAAATACATGCACTAAAAGGAAACCCAGTGCTATGGTGCAGTAAATCATTTGGCTAAAAATAAGAGTGCAACAGTAGTTGGTGAGATTATATATCACGAGCAAGATCTCCAGACACGCGTAATGCTGTGTCGCGTGGCTTGTATGATAGTTAGCCGCTTTCGCTGCTTTATTCTAAGATACATTGATTTCTACTGGATCGTAAATAAAAACAAACACCTATTAAATCAAGACCTCCAGGAGTTATTTCTTGAACGCAAACGTTCTCATATACCAAATTACAATATATATAGTAGGCGATTAATTAAATGTTAACCGAATTTCTGAAATGTGTTTTCGCTATTAAAATATTATTTAAGCAGTTTTTGAAATTTATAATCTGGCAGCATAATGGTATAATAAATGAGTTACCTCGAGAACCCGGTATTTGAAAGAACTTCTCTTCAGACGCATACATAAACCAAACACTGTAATAAATGACTACATGTGTCGCACGCATTTTTCACCATGATTTTCGATGTTACTAAAATTCCAATCATATATCCTGGAAAACATGCACACTTTATTTCATCTTTTAGACATCCGGTAGAAAGATTGCGTCATACTTAGATGTCACACCTGAAAAAAAGAATAATTTATTTTCAAAAAATTAAAATTCCTGAATAATATTCAATCTGAACTGCCTTTACTTTCGTTTTCAGGGTGTACGGTGTTCACCACGCCACCCATTTCTCTGCTGCCTTATGAGGCGACCATATATGGTTCCTAACGTTTGGAAGTGGATTTCAGCCATATTGCAAACTCCACATCCTAAATTACTTTATGCAGAAACATGACTTCTGAAAGGGAATTTCAAGGTATTATAAAGTCTCACATTTAGAAACTTATGAAAAAAACCCAATTACGCTATTTTTTAAAGTCTAATTTTCGAAGAAGACGTAATGTTCTATCGCATGAGCAAAAGAATGATTAGTTTTATGCATTCCATGAAATATATTTGAATGTTTTGCGACATCAAAAATCCCTCAGACAAATTCATGCTAATTAAGAAGTCAATTTTTTACAGTGTTGTTATTGCATTCGCCTTGAAGGAAACGCTTTCAAAAGCCGGCACCTTGATATAACCGAAGTATTAAAGATAAATGCCGCAAGACGATTATTTTTAAAACCCTACTTAAATAGTCGTTTGGAAACAAAAACGTATTTCAAAATTTCGGTAAACATTTCATGAATTAGCACTCCCATTGCAGCAGTGACGAACATATCCATTTTCGTTCCGAATGACTCTTCTAGTCTGATCCGTTTAAGCAGCACGCGGTGCAAATCAAGTGAAAATCAACATAAAATCAAAGAACAGCATTGCACAACACTAATATGAAATTTGTTATCAGAATTTGCATGAGAATTTTTTAAAATAAAAACATAATGATTTTTAAAAAGGTGTCCAAAATAGTGAGCATTAAAATGTGCGTTTCACACTGGCAGTGTGGGTAGCGCAGGCCGTTGCGAAACTTTTTAGACTGCCACCTTACAATGCCCACAGTTGTTTTTTTTTATCAGAAGAAGAAGCGATCGCTGAAACAATTGCTTTATTCGCCTGACGTTTCGGATTCTCTCTTGAATCCATCATCAGAGACAGTCGCAGAAAAGGGTGGCTAGTGTACAGGAAGTCGCAGTATTTATAGGATACGGTCGCCATGCTACCGCATACCTACAGCAATTAACCGTGCTCCCTTCATCAAGGATTGTTGCCCGCTTGTGCGCTAATTGCTTGATGGCCGGCATGCAAGTTGTTAATTGCTGACATCTCATCACCCGTGTTGGATGCTGGCGTGATGATTGCTCGGTCATCTGGCTCACCGGCTTGCGCGCTCCTCGAGTGGTCAATTGCTTTGGCCAGTCTATGCCTCAGGACAGAATATGCAGTGGGGATGTCGTTGCACTTGTTGCTAGACCGAGGTCCCGTGAATTATGACTCAAGTAACTCGCGGCTCACGCGATTATCCCCTCTCGCGAGAATTTCGGCCTCATCGAACTTGAATGTGTGGCCAGGTCTCGTCGAGTGCACAAGCAACTGCCTTGGCCCGATTCTATGGTCTCCCAAAGGTGCACAAGGAGGGCGCTCCTCTCCGGCCCATTGCATCGCCCAAAGGCACTCCAACGTACGGACTGGCAAGATGGCTGTTTCGGCGCCTCAAATTTCTGACCGCTGATTCGGACACCACGGTCTGTTCGTCAACGCAATTCCTGGAGAAGCTTAAAGGACTAAGTCTCTTGCCCAATGAGGTCATGGTATCTTTTGATGTCACGTCCCTCTTTACTTCTATCCCGAGAATCTGGCAATCGAGACCGTCCAGCTACTCCTACGAAACAAGTACAATGAAACGGCGAATCGTCTCGGACATGCCCAATTCCTTCAGCTCCTAAAGTTCTGTCTCAGGACGTACTTCACGTTTGACGGAACAATCTACGAGCAAGTGAAGGGAACACCTAGGTGCTTGCCGATTTCGGGATTCATCGCCGAGGCGGTGCTACAGCGGTTGGAGTCGCTGGTCTTCCAACACCACAGACCAAAATTATGGGCTCGGTATGTGGACGATACCTTCGTCGTCATCGAAAGGGATCAGGTGCTAACGTTCAAAGAACGTCTCAACAGCGTCTTCCCTGACATACAATTTACGATGGAGGAGGTAGAGAATAACCAGCTGGCATTCCTTGATGTCCTCGTCTGTCGCAAAGATTGTGGTGGCCTCAAGACCAAAGTGTTCAGAAAAGCAACGAGCACGACGCAACAGTAACCACCCAAAATGCCACAAACGCAGTTGCGTGAGAACGCTATTTCGGCGTGTTGATACGCACTGCAGTGAACCGGAAGACAAGGTAGTCGAATGCCAATAACTTCGACGGGTTTTCCGAGAAAACGGTTATCCACGCAACTTCGTCAACCAGTGCCTGCGCAAACGAGACGAGCGACAAAATCGCGCCGACCCCAAATTCTGGCGAGCGATCCCGTACATCAAGGACGTCTCCGAGGCCGTTAGCCGCCTTCTTGCACCACTTGGGGTTGGAGTTGCGCTCAGACCGGAGGCCACCATGAGGCGTCAAGTGATGAGACCAAAAGACCCACTGCCACGTCAAGAAACATCTGGAGTCGTTTACCGGATCTGGTGCAGTTGCGGACAAAGCAACTACGTCGGAGAAACTGGAAGACTGCTCCAGACGCGAATCGCCGAACACGTGGCAGCTGTACGGAGAAATGACGCCAACTATTAGGTCGCGGCCCATTCGACGAGACCCGGCCACACATTCAAGTTCGATGAGGCCGAAATTCTCGCGAGAGGGGAAAATCGCGTGAGCCGCGAGTTACTTGAGTCATAATTCACGGGACCTCGGTCTATCAACAAGTGCAACGACATCCCCACTGCATATTCTGTCCTGAGGCACAGACTGGCCAAAGCAATTGACCACTCGAGGAGCGCGCAAGCCGGTGAGCCAGATGACCGAGCAATCATCACGCTAGCATTCAACACGGGTGATGAGATGTCAGCAATTAACAACTTGCATGCCGGCCATCAAGCAATTAGCGCACAAGCGGGCAACAATCCTTGATGAAGGGAGCACGGTTAATTGCTGTAGGTATGCGGTAGCATGGCGACCGTATCCTATAAATACTGCGACTTCCTGTACACTAGCCACCCTTTTCTGCGACTGTCTCTGATGATGGATTCAAGAGAGAATCCGAAACGTCAGGCGAATAAAGCAATTGTTTCAGCGATCGCTTCTTCTTCTGATCAACTAGTTCCTGGTACTCGCACCTTCGCTTGTACCGGCAATGTTGTTTTTTCATTATTCACGTAATTCGTCCGAACATTGGTCATCATTTAGACACCTTTAGTAAACTCTCCCTCCCGGACTAAAATCCTCGCTTCTTAGAGGCAGCGTTAGTTATTTGTCATTCAGGACCGCAACGACCGACAATCCTCATTGTATTAAATGGAGGCCGTATGATCCTTTGGAAGCGTTACATATGCGACTCCGTGACTTGCCCTTGTTGGACAGCTTAACGAATCAAATTCCTAGCGGCAGGATTTGCTCGCACAACGGAGCTGCAGTCGGTTTTATATTTGCAAAACGAAAATAAGGTTTTTGAACCGGTTTACCGACAAAAAATTTCAATCACTGCCGAAATCAGTTTAAAGGAAAATATCTTTATTGCTTACCCAATTAGGGTATAACTGACCACTGACAAAAGAACATGCTCGTCTGGCACATAATAATACGTGTTCGCCTATGTGCTTTTATTAAAGCACTGTTTGCGATTAATGCTTCGCTACTGACATGTTCGCCAGTCCGACATTATGCGTTCCATAAGACACCCGGTTTTAACAATGACGTGGCTACTTGGGTTAGTATAGAATTGTGCTTACAAATAAAAAGTCCGGGCAGCATCGTTTGGAAAACCGCTGATATTTCGGTTTACTTTTCCACATTGATTTGCGGTCAGTATTGCAAGATCTCAGACAAGGATAGATGTTTAAGTAGAGCATTGACGAAAAATGAGACATTATGTTTGTTTATATAACTCTTCAAACAGGGTGGTTAGTTAAATGGCGCCGAAAGAAAATTGTGTAACACAAACTATATTTTGAAACATAAAAAGCTAATCTGATCGATATTTTTGGGATACGTAAATGAAATTGATCATTTAGATTTCAGTTAATGCGTCTCATACGTTTAGCCGCCTGCTCTACGATACCCTGTTTTCGTGTGAACGGCGAATTGGTCTAAAACATTTGAAAATAAACAAAAATGACTTATACATCCTAAAAGTTAATGCAGCATTTATCTGCCATTTCGTTTATATTGAAAGCATGTAGGATTAGACTATTCTTCAGTCACATGTTCCGTAACCTACCTGATCGATGAACGCCTACTGTTAAAATTGATATTCCCGATCACAACCGACAAGACAACGGGCCCGTGGCTCAATAGTAGAGTGTCAAACTGCATGACCAAAGATTCCGGGTTCGAATCCAAAGTGATCCACACTTGGGGTTGGGTATGACTGGCTGATGACGGCTAATAAGCCAGAAATGGCCATTCCGGTCTCCCTTGTCTTTGTCGGTTCCATCTCATCTATATTCGATTAAAAACCTTTCATCGGTAAAAAAAACTCCAGGTCGTCGTTTTGGAGCTCTTTGCGCATTGACGTCCAGGAATTTTGCTTCAGTTATGCAATTATGTTTAGTCGTCGCAAACAACGATATCCACTCTGTGCTCCGCAGCACTGCGGCGCAAAAGGATGATTTGCGTCTGACTTGGGTAACAGTTGGGGTAGACCTGCGCGACGCCTTCACACACCATTATCTATTTATCAAGATAAATTTAATAGAACCCCGTGGAGATACCAAACGCAATATAGTACGGGATGCGGCATGGATCGCATATGTGTGTGGGCGCCGTAGACATCACATGTCCTTCATGAATTTATGCAAAATGTAACCAGAAGTGCAAGTTGCATAGGATACGCGTCCAGGGAACCAATAAATCAACACAATTGCAGAATGTAGGGGTTTTATTGAACAACAGAACAACAGAGCACACGATGCTGATAATCACTTAAGAATTTCCAGGACCTTAAAGTACGCCCCAGTATTAAAGGACGCCAGAAAAATCACGTGATTCCATCATTGTCAAACAGTACATGATTACTTCACGGAAGATACATAATCTTGGTTCAAAAACTCAACGTGCTTGACATTCCAGCTACCAGTAGTATTCAAACTGAATTCGCGAGTTTATGCTAACCAAAAGTTCGATTTATACACCACAGCACGCTGAATGCATGCCTTAAATTATTTCCTGTATATAGTAGCCTTCGTAAATGGGCCAATTTAAGCAGTTCCTTTCCCTCCTTGAAGGCATTCCATATGCCACGGCCCGATAAACAAACCGGAGGCTCTTGCAAAATTTCAAATCCGGTTTCACGAATGTTAGTGACCAAAGTCAGTTCTTCTGATATGCTCTATTGTTCTAGTAATGTATTACAAAATATCCGTGAGTTTTGTAGAAATTTTATCATTGAAAACATGGTGAGCATACGGCAATCCTTATGCTGTGCAATTTGACCCACATAACAATATGCAGGTTGTTGATAAGGTTTCAAGGACATATCAAATATTTTGGTGTGTCAGAACCCAAATTAAAAAGCATATATTACGGGTGGTAAGAAAAGTTGCTTAATTGGGCACCTCATTTGCTTTGCAGTTTTACCGAAATTGGTGTATTTGTGCACGTGCCCTGTAAGGGACATGTGAACGAAATCAGTTTGTATCTGTCTGAATCGAAATACACTGCAACCAATGATTTGCAGCCACGTCTGCAGCCTCTTTTTTCGGGTACAGATTTTTTTCAGCTCGCTGCACCGTAGCACACAAGTATAATCATTGAAGCACGATAACTGATTTTATGGACATATTTCTCTCGTGGATTTCAGAACTACAGCTTTGTTTCTTGCGTGGCTGAAAAGGATATTGTATGATGTAGGCTTTCATTACTTGCTAGTAATACAAAGAGTCTAGGCTAGCCACCATTTAGACTGTTAACTGCTAATTACATTTAAGATGGGGGTACGTTAACTAATAGCCAAAAACATCAAATATTGTTATGCCTCAGTAAACGTAAATTATAGGAATACGGGAAGAATATTCGTATGAAAAATTTAGTACATGCCATGGTTCAAGTAGAAAAGCGTTTTAAAGTGTGGCGGTCAGCCAACAGTCTGCAGTCAGCATCCAGTTGCGAACAGCTTAGACGGCTTTCACGAGAATCAGCTGTATTTTATCCATTTGTACATAACAAGGCATGGTTTTAACGAAAACAAACATGATTTAACTATATTTCAACGTTTGCTTGTAATTTTAATCAATTGCGCGTAACGGCAGAATGTAAACAAAGTGATTATATGGATCTTAAAAATAAGATCAATCTTGAAATCATTTGCGGGGTAATGTGTGCTCAGGCAGATCTAATGAGGAGTATCATTACCAACAAAGACGCGTAATACTGGAATTGCCGTAACGCGTGCACTGGTCAGGCCTGTGAAACATCACTCAAACCCTTAGAGGCAGAGGAAGAAGAGGAAATATAATCTGCTGAAGGCCTATAAACTCGGAACGCTATTCGCGCTACCGTTTAATTTTATGAGTTGAAGTTTTTTTAGGATTGTTGGCCAAACCTACATTACAAGGCATCAACAACTTGCCATACGACTTTCGCATATTATCTCCCGTTCTCGAGTAGACCTGTGTACTCATGTAAAATCAATTCTCGACTGCAACTGGTGATCAGCCGCAATGATCATCGCACTTCGACGGTTGCAGTCGGAAATGGGTGAACAGAACTGTACCAGTGCAAAAGGTCTACCCCGTGTAAACCAATCTCACTGCAAAGTATTTACTGTTGTTATGCAGCAGTTATAAGTCTCAGCTGGTTTTACTGAAGCCGCACATCGCTGAGCTTATACTCCATGGGAGCAAATGTGTTTTCCGTCTTAAGTGTACTTATGGACAGTAAATTTACAGTAAACTCCGTAAGCAAACTCACGGGCTAGACATTCGGAATCAGGTCAAGCCTGCTTTTGTCTGAGGTCATGCTACTTGCTACTTCAGACTGACAGTTGGTTTGCAGGTCGATTATACTGGCCAAGTGGGGATTCTCCTTGGAAAGTAGGCCAACTCACACTGTCTTAAATTGATTCACGAAGACTGGAGACGTTCACGTGAGGCGGATTTTGGTT